CCTTCCTTTATCATTTGAATTGTGCATACAACATGTACATGCTATGTATATGCTGCCCCTCCCAAAAAGAAAATATATTATATATAACTGCCTCCAGGAAAACATGGTGTGTATGGCAACTCCAATGTATATCTTGTTAGAATGCAACCTATTGCTTTATATCTCATTTCATGAAGGCAAATAACCGATTTGTATAACATTATCTTTACTATGTATATTAGTTGTATAAGAATACAATGCATTGTTTCAGTATGTTCTTCTTACATACAGGAAGCACAGGAAAGTGCGTGAACGTTCTCGCTCCTCCTCTTCGTCATCTCATTCTTCCCATTCTCTGAGGGCAAATGTGCAAGAAGACTTCCCCGCAGAGGGTGAGGATAAAGAAGAAAGTGCCACAGCCTTTGACAAGGCACGTGCAGGCAGCAAGGAGTTTCAAGGAACTACTGATAGAGGACGAGGCCGTGGTACCTTCGTAAGTATTTTTTTATTGTACTGTGAGAGTTCATCAATTACAGAATCACTGCTGTGCCACCTGTCCAATGCTGTGGTGTAGATTTGAGTTTTGATTTAGACTTGAGCATTAAGTGCCTTGTTATAATGGTAATTTATTGCAGTTAAAGATTATAATTAATTTTAAAATATGCAAGTAAATTAAAGTTCTTACCTAAACTTGTTGAAGCTCCTGAGGTAGCAAGACAAACACTGCCCATAAATAAATCATGTATTTAAAAATATCTTAAGATAAATGTGATTGTTGGGTGGCTTAAATAACATATTTTAATTTTTCTCCATGCACCCTATGCAGCACTTTCTCTGCAGCAGTATTGACATCCACACACATACTTTAGTTTGTTCAATCCCATCTTAACTGATCTTTATAAAAGTCCCTATTTATTTTTGAAATCGATCAATTTAAGGAATACTATAGGTAGGTAGCCCATACCACATCTTAATGAAATGGTCTGGGTTCCATGTTTCTGTTTAGGTATAACCTGGCAACTAAAAACATTATTTTGCAATGCAGGGTTAAAATGCTTCTAGTGCTCGCTGACAGCAGGTAAACACCTGTAGCTTGTGACATCCGGTGGTATACCACAGACGAGACTAGAGATATTCAGCCCCAAGCATGCTTGTGCCCACCGCAATACTCTACTCATGTTTTCCTTCATTATGTATAACTGTATACTTGCATGGTGCCCATCGGGACCTCTGTTTCACTAATGTTGTCAACAATGTTACCACTATTGTCACATTATGTTTTTTTTTGTTTTTTGTTTTTTTTGGGAATATCACTGTACATGGCACTGTCTACCACTCAAGCTAAAATAAAGAATGTAAAAAATAAAATAAAAATGCCTTTAGTGGCTGTCACACTGCCAGCCACTAGAGGTGCTTCTGCCAAAATAGTCAAGTGGCACTTGGCTATTTCACTCAGTTTGTCTCAGGGTGTGCAGTGTAGTTTTTAGCCTTCCAATGCTTTCCTATGAGAAAGCATCAGTCTTGATGATCTTCGCCAATGATTTCAGCCAAGGATGTGGGGCAGGCTGCGGGTAGATCACCTTGGTGAGGAAGAAAAGGTGAGTAAACTACATATTTTATGCACTTGAGGAGCGGGCCTGAAAACTAAACTGCTACCAGACACTATAGTGTTAGGAATACACATTGTGGGGGATGTGCAGCCAGGGAGCAGTTTCTTAACTAAAAGTCTTTGGTGGGGAAAACAGGGAGGTCTTGCAAAGGCTACAGACAGTAGATCTGATAAGTACCATAATAAAAAGTTTATTAAAATTCTGAAAAAAACACTAATAGATATACCCCCAGTGAATACATGCCTTTGCAAAGCCTCCACTTTTTTTTCTAGCACCTGGGTTCTAGAAGCTTCTCACACAGGATCAGAACTGCTGATCTTATCGGAGGGCTGAGAAGAGATATGAGGTGGTAGGCGAGCACGCTCAAGTAGAGTGCGCCTGCCACTTCCATTAGTTTTGTGGAGCTAATGGAACCAGGAAGAAAGCTCCCTGGCTTTTTGATTGACAATCGGGTAAACTGAAGGTTTCATTATATCTTATTATAAAAGTACTTTTTTAATGGGATACTCCTCACTCAAAAAGCACTTTAGCAAGTTGAAGTGCTTTGTGTGTACACCAGTGTATAATAAAATATACACCAGATTTGTCTAAGTTGGCAAAAAAAAAGGCCTTTTCACTTTGTCACAGCGTTTGTTTGCCCAAATGTTAAAGTACTATATCACAGTAAGTGTGCCAGTACTTTTAAATGATGTTAATTCTTGGGAAATTAAAATTACTGTATAAATGCTGTTGCGTGGCAAAAAATTGGAAACCTTTCAAACATGTCTTTCACTTGCAGCAATTCAGACCAAGAGGAACAAGGGCATGGGGTAGAGGAGGTGTTTTTCCTGGAAATAACAACAACAACAATAATGAATTTCAAAAACGAAATAGAGATGAAGAATGGGATCCAGAATACACACCTAAAAGCAAGAAGTATTATCTGGTATGTGTGACTTTCTTCACTCTATCCTATTATCCACATTCAACCTTCATGAACCTCTTCTGTTGAGAATATTCTATTATGACCTAAACGCAGGTGTAAATTACAGAAGAAAAAAACTGATTTATCTGTGCCTCCTAAAACTCTTCATGTTGTGTTCTTTTTTGAGTACTTCCTTCAGACATTTTAAATTTACACCTAAAAAGATGATAATTATATTATTATAATTATATTAAGTTTAAGCTTGTTCATTGAACAGTGGATAACTAGAACATACAAGTAAATGGCGAATTTAGGATAATTTAGCAGGAGTGGGCCAATACCTGGTGTGCGTCCTGCTCAGGTATTTTAATGCTTTATTGTAGGTGCTTGATTTACCTAAGGAAGCTGAGCAGGGTTAATTTTATATGTGCTTGATTTGGCTTGGATATACTATTTGTGACAGCATGGTTAGTGAGTTGTTGGTGGTATTCTGATGTAGAAGTTGATTTCGAATAATAGTGGCATATTATCATGATTTTTGGGTGGAAAGGGTTTTAGTCATTACCATACTTCTAATAATTTTAGTAAGTACAAATGGATAGTAAGTGTTGCCGCTTTGCATTTTATAGCAGCATGTTCATTTTCAGGTGCGGTGGTAAAGTCAAGTGCAAATTGTGGAGGCGCCCATTCATTACAGTGACTGTCAGTATCCACCCTCTTCCCGTCCTGATCCATTCTCATCTCTCTGCAGCACGACGATCGGGAAGGGGAGAACGAAGAGAAATGGGTGAACCGTGGGAGAGGTCGCGCCAGCTTTCCACGTGGCAGGGGAAGGTTCTTGTTTCGCAAGCCTGGCACAAGTCCGAAGTGGTCCCATGACAAGTTCAGCGGGGAGGAGGGAGAAATTGAGGAAGATGAGAGTGGAGCAGAAAACAAGGATGAGAAAGGCAACAGTATGCCAAATATGGAGTAGGCTTTAAGTTTGTATCATTTATGAACTGTGGCAGCAGAAGAATGCCCCTGAATTCCTGTGCCCTGAACAGCAGCAATTACACAGGCACAGAATGCTAAGTCTGATAAGCCTTCTGTTATATATTTCCCTCCCTATTTCTGCATTGATTGCTAGACCTTTTTTTTGTTTGTTTTTAATTTTTAAAAAATCCATTTATGGAAGTGTGAATGTACCCTTTTACTTATGTTCTTCTTTAATAGAAATGAGGGATGCTAGGATCCTATGAATGATTTACTGCTGCCATCCATAAACTGCCCACCTGTGTTTTTTGATCTCCTTTGGCTCAAACATGTTGACTTGTGAAACCTTTCGCTAAACCTTTCCAAAAACCAATCATATGTCTCACGTTTTCATGTCTGTTATGGTTGACAAAGTTGCTGCTTTTTTGTTTTTGTTTCTTTTTTATCTTTCCCCTTTTAAGATTATGTAGTGTACTACAGTTACTATAATGATGGTATCCTTTTTAGAGAAATATTTTGAAGCCTTGTATAATAGGTGGAGGGTAAAAAAAATGGTGTTCAAATAAACATTAAACTTGGGGAACAAATCTTTGTGTTTTTTGTGATGTTGTAGAAACACAGCATAGAAGAAGTTTGTCATTTTATAGAATCAGAATTATCAACAGATTCACATGTTGGCCTATATGCACACAAATTGCATAATCTAATTTTAAATATGTTGGTTTAACCTTTATCCTCTGGTAAATGTCTCTTTGACATCATGAATTTGTAAAGGCAAATTAAAAATTATCTTGCACATGTCTGATTAGTGGTATATTACATTATATTGCAATACTAGCAGGCTTCCAATCTTATATATATATATATATATGTGTGTGTGTATGTGTGTATATATATATATATATATATATATATATGTATATATATATATATATATATATATATATATATATATATATATATATATATATATATATATATATATATATATATATATATATATAAATTTTTTTTTTGTAAAAATTGAATTTTGAAAGAAAAGTGATTTCTTGTGTCTATAGCATGTCCCTGCTGGCTCAGGAATGAAAAGACCGTGTTTACTTTGCTGCCTAGTTACACCTGTAGATACAGTCACTAGAGGTGCTTCCTATTGCTGCATTGTGTGCAGCAAGAACATGGAAACTCTTAACACTTTCCATAGATATGTAGTGTTTGATGTATCTCTACGAGGACATGCTGATTAGAAAAGCGCAGTGTTTTGCCGCGCATGTGCAATAGCATCCCAATGCTTTCCTATAGTAGAGCATTGGAGTGGCTAAGGTCATCAAGATTGATGATCTCAGCCATGGAGGCAGGGCCAGCTGCAACCAGACCAGCACGGCGATAGTGAAAAGGTGCACCTAAATACCTTTTATCTCCATTTTGAGAGGAGCCGTTCATCTAAACATTTATTACTAGTAGTATAGTATTCCTAACGCTATAGTTTTCCTTTAAAAGTTGTAAAAATTTTGCTGGCAGACTGGATTTCTTAATAGGTACATTTAAGCACCATAACAACTTTGTCACTGTAAAGGTTATGGTGTAGAGAGACCCCTGCACTTAGCCCAAAACTGCAGCAGTTGGCAATTACACTGCAGATCTAAATCTCTCCTGCAACTGACACATGAAAAAGAGGAAGTTTTATGTCAAATGTGTTTAACTTGCACAGTTAGATCACCCTAGTCTTGGCTGCGCACAGGCATGTCGAGCAGCTCAGGAAGCAAAGAATCCCGGTCATCCTATATGTGATTTGAACTGTGGATGTAGGATAAACAACTTAACACATAAATCCTTCCTCAGCGTGCGATCCGATAAAAACCATAGTCCAGAATGAGACTCCTACATGTATTAAAACATTTGGAGTTCATTCCTGTCTGTTGTACATCTATAGGCCAGTTGAAGGGTCTTTTTATTGACTGGCTGTGCTCCATAAAATATTTGTATAATTCCACAGTATAGACCTATGACTTAAAGTCTAGAATTTAAAACTGTGTAAGACTAGTTTTAGTGTACCATGAACAGATGAAATCAAACTATTCAGTACAGGCAATGCAGCTTTGCTTTTTGAAAGGGGCCTAATCTGCATTTTCAGTTCAGTTTAGGGTCTCTCAAATGTTATTTAAGGGAACACTCTAAAATTTATTTGATTTTAATGTTAGTGTTTCTTTCTTAGTTTAGATTACTTGGCTTCGCTTGTTTGTGTATTTTTGGGAGGATAAGAATATTTGCAATAAAAGCTGTTAAACCTTTATTCCAGCACCAGAACAGTCTCCTCTCTGCAACTCCTCTGCCTCTGAAGATGTGAGGTCTGAAGACGTTTGTTCACTCCAATGCTTCTCACCAAGTAGTGTTGGTGACACATTGCATGTTGATGGCAATTGCAGCACTCCACCAATCCAATGCTTCTCATGAAGAAGCATTGAATGTGTTTGGCATCTTCATACTGTGTGTAATGATGCTGAACATGAAAACCTTTGAAAATTTCACCCTGAAAGTCACCTAAAACAAAGTTTAAGAAAAATGCAAACCTTTTCATTTCTCAGAAAGTGCAATGTTTTTCTTTGCCAGACAAAAGGGACCAAAACCAGTACTTTTAAGATGAAATTTTTTGGTGGTTAGTGTCCATTTAATGGTAATTGGTTTTAATCAAGTGCACGTGTAAATAACAATGTAATTCCAATAATTTGTCCAGGTGTTTTAGTGGGATTTTTTGTTCCTATGTGTGGTCCAATATGTAAATTTTTAAAGCCCCCAAGAAAAGACAATACACTTAGGGAATTTGAGCTGGGCCATTTGAAGCACAAGGCTAACAGAGAAAAATACATTTGATTCCAAGCATATGGGGAGTCTGCAATAGTTATTTCAGAGGATGCTAAATATATTTCTTTGTTATATGCTTTATTCCTTGAAATGAAGAAGCGGTGTCCCTTAAATTGCTGTATGCGTACCAACAAATGATCAAGAATAATGGCCTAGAAGTGTTGAAGCACTTGCTGCTACAATAGTCATTGAGGTGACTGGAAGTTGAGATGGTACCAAGGTGCCAATTATAAGCAGCTAAATACTAAGCAACAGTGAGACAAATGTGTAAATTAAGTATAATCTAGAAGCATAGTCCCCTTCATAGTTTATTCAGCAATAGGACCCATATATGGCCCAAGTTGGCATTTTACTGCTGGAGCAGTAATTCTCCGATCACTGTATAGCTTTCATGCAGACTCCGTAAGAGCTGATTACCTAATCAAGAAGCTTAAAGGGACACTATAGTCACCTGAACAACTTCAGCTTAATGGGGTTGTTCAGGTGAGTACAATAGCTACCTGCAGGCCTTTTCATGTAAACACTGTATTTTCTGAGAAAACAGTGTTTACCTTAGAACCTAGGAACAACTCCAGTGGCAGTCACTCAGACACCCACCAGAGGGACTTCTGAGTTAAGTCCTGCCTGATGCGCCATACTCTCGTTTGACGTCTTCACACTTAGCTGAAGACATCAAATGTTCTATCAGGACATAGCAGGCACTGGAGGCTGTCAGCAGCCAGAGCCTACTGTGTGGGAGACCAGATCTCCTGTACACACAGCGACTGCTCTGGCTGACAGGCTGAAGGCAGGAGACAGAGCAAGAGGATGCAGAGATCTACTGACTTCAAACAGTAAGTAAACTTCTTTAAAAATAAGTGAGTGACTGTGAGAGTTAGCGTGAGTGACTGTGAGTCAGAGCGAGAGAAAAAAGTAGAGAGGTAGATATAGTGTGTGTTTAAAATATTTATTTATAATTTGTATACAGACACACACACTATATATATATATATATATATATATATATATATATATATATATATATATATATATATATATATATATATATATATATATATATATGTGTATGTATATATATATTTGTATACACAAACTTTGAGCTGAGGAGATTTACAGGAGAAGAGGGGCGGGCTTAAACAGCTGTCAGCTCGCGAACGCACATACCGCGGAAATGCGCGATAGAGCACTCATAGAGCGGCATTCAATACTGATCTATGAAGAAAGTCGCACATGCACACCAGAGAGCAATGACATTTCCCCAAAAGTAGCGTCTGAACCCTGCTATTTTGGCAAAAAGGAGGCGTAGCCTGCCGAGGAGCTCAGTGCTGGAAACAGAGGTAAGTTTATATGATAAACTTTTTTTTTTTTTTTTATATGAGAAACTAATATAAAAACAAAGAATGCTAGGGGACCGGTCTTTCTTGCATTTATATTTTGACTACAGTGCACTGTTGTAGTTTTGGTGTTACGGGTTCCCTAGTGTCCCTAAAATTATGAGTCCAACCATTTTAAAATGGTTTAAGTTTTTAGCAGGGGTTCACTGGATGCTGCTCCTTAGCTCCAATACTACATATGGAGAGCAAGAGGCTTTCTATCTGAGCTAAACCTGGCAGTGCAGATGCTCTGTCAGTGAACTAACCCTAGTTTGCACGTCCATCGAAAGTAAAGAAGACGGGAACAGTACTCCTACCAAATCCACCAAGGTAAGAAGTCAGATCATTCTCCATTAGAACTCTGTAGTGGTTATGGTGCTGCGAATGTTCCTTTAATCCCTTAAGGACCAAACTTCTGGAATAAAAGGGAGTCATGACATGTCACACATGCAGGGGGTGACAACCATGACTGTTGTCATGGGCCCAGCGGCCCTGACTGCTCTGGCAGTCCTGGGCCCCACTTTCCCTCTCTGCACACATAGCGGATATCGCTATCTATGTGTGCTGCCGCAGGCCCCCGGCTCCCTGTTACCGCAGAGGGGGCCCAGGCAGCACACAGCTTCTCCTCTCTTCTTTCTTTTAATAACTCTAGCGAGACCCGGTTACCATGGCAACGCTCCGCGTATCTCGCAGGAGTTATTAGAAGAGAGGAGAAGCTGTGTGCTGCCTGGGCCCCCTCTGCGGTAACAGGGAGCCTGGGATGCCACCGGACCACCAGGGATCATGGAATCTCCCCCCTCCTTGGACACAAGGGGTGGAGAAACATTTAATTAATTGAATAAAAAAATAATGTTAAAATGCCCCTCCCTCCCCCCAGATTGCACATTTACACACACTGACTGCATACACTAACACAACACACACACTGACTGCATACACTAACACAACACACACACTGACTGCATACACTAACACAACACACTGCATACACTAACACACACACTGCATACACTAACACAACACACACACACTGCATACATTAACACAACACACACACTGCATACACTAACACAACACACACACACACACACACTGCATACACCAGTGTGTGTGTGTGTGTGTGAACACTGTCATACAGGGTTATGCTTCCAGTTCAACTATGTTGGTCTAAAATTGTAAATCTAACTCTAGTGAATAACCCTGTTAGTCTCTAATTCATTGCCGTTGTGGGTTATTGAGGGTAGAATGATATGGGGAAATATTTCAAACAATTGAAAAACGAAGGAATACTTACTGAATGCACTGTATAATTATTTGCCAGTAGGAGAACCCAGTAGTATAATACCATAAATGCAGTATAACTTAATATGGCAGAACTGTTAAAATAAGTTACAACTTTATTTAAAAGCAAATCCTCTACACATATGATGACCTTCTCGTCGGATGATGATAATATGGTCTACCATAGATGGCAGACCAGTTTGAAATATCATTACTGACCTTTGTTTCCTCTGCAGAAATGTAATCAGTAGAAATTAAATATAAATCACAACATTCCTGTATGAAAGAAAATAATGAACATAACCTAAAGAGACCCTTAATTCATCTATCCCTGTCCCTTTCACCCTGCAGTGTAAAACATTGCAGTGTGGAGACGACCTCTAGTAGCTGTCTTCCAGAGAGCAATTAGAGATGCTACCTGCATTTTCACTTAATTTTACTCCGTGAAATGACATTGGACGGCCTCACGGTTTGCATGAGAACATCCAGCATCTTCAAAATCCCCATAGTAAAGCAATCATTTCCTTTAAGGGAAGTTCTAATGCACGCGTGGCACTTGCTGCACATGCACATTAGGTTCCCCCATTGGCGTGACTTCACTGGAGTTAAATAGAAATATAGTGACAGTATTCTATTTTCCTTTTTCTGTTAGACGTTAGCATTTTAATAAGCATGTGATGGCATAGTGGTTTATTAGCATTTAATAAAGGGTCAAATAAATTGATTGTAGATTGAAATAAATGGCTACTTTCGGAATGGAATTGACAACTGGAACACAAACGAAAAGTAATACCATACACTGTTCAAAAATTAGGAGAAAGTATGCAAGTCCAGGAGTGATGTTTGCTCCAAGTGATTATTGCCACAAATGGGAATCTGAAGGTAAGTTTTGGGGTTTTTTAATTTATTTTTTTATTTTTATTTTATTTTTTTATATCAATCGGGAAGTACTCATTTGTTTAGAGTCAGCTGACCTTTCTAAGCCAATCAGCTGCACACCAGCACTCTGCACTTCCTGTAACTGAGAATCATCTGGGTGCTGGATTCGAACTTTAGGGTTAAACTGTTCGAGAACAGTTTAACCCCTTAAGATAAGAGTGTGCTCAAGGGCCTCCCGGCACCATAACTTATTTAGAGTTATGTTGTCGTTTTAACACTAAACACCCCATATGATATCACTTCCTGCACACTCCTCTCAGATAACAAGGAACAGGAAGAGAGTTATGCAGGAGAGAAAAGAGAAAGATGGAGAAAGCAATAGAAAAACAGAATGGAATAGATCTAGGGGAGCAATCAGAGTGGACAATGGAAAAGAAAGATGGATATGCTTGAAAAGGATGGTGGGAGTTAAAATAGGAGCTGGTGGAAAGATGGGTTAAGGGGTGAAAAGATAGAGGCACATCTGGCAAGAATGGGCATAAAGGGGCA